ATTTGAATAAATGTAATAAAAAAATGCATTACCCTATCACTGAAAAATATATTCATAGAGATGAAGTTACTTAGAAATTAGACCACATAATACCATATCATTTGAGAAACGTCTTCATTCCGATTTCAGTTTCATCTCCTTTTCGTAAACCTCAATTTATAAGCTAAAAATATCCTCAGATTAAACCGTAACATTTTCTTCTACTGTTTTTCATTACTATTATTTTTTCTTGGATATCATTTTTGAGACTTTAGTAAAATACAGAGCAAAAATTAAGACGTCCTTCAGATATTGAATATTTACTGTTTCAAAAATCAAAATTATTTACCTTGTTGGATTTGAGATTATAAGTTATATTGGTCATTCATAAAAATTAATTTCTTGCTTATTTAGTTGAGAAAAGTTATAGCATATGTGATTAAAATGTGGACTTCTTATTAAAATTTTATTAAAGATGTTTTAATTGGTTTGAAATGATATGATCTTATATGATCACCACACAAAAATTACGGGATTGACACGAATTGACCGGTGATTTCATGCCAAACTGCTTGTGCCAAAATGTTTTTGACACTAATTTAACATATTCCTATCACATCCTCTATGGATTTTGGTGAATCCCTCCAAAAAAATCTACGTCAATTTCCTTACTTTTTATGTGGTGTGATAGATATTTTTCTACACGTTTTTAGTATTGTCTAATTCTTGTCAGGCCCAATCTAATATGATCTCGTTTGATTTGATTTGATTTAGATATTATAGGATTTCAAAGTGATAAGTCTACTATAGTAAAACAAAGACGATTGGGTTATCTAATTCTTGTCAGGCCCAATCTAATAGTAATGCCTCAAATAGGACTAATAGCAAAGTTAATTGCCCATTTAGGACTATAAACGAACCATATGTTTCATAGGACCATTTTCAGAGTAGTAGACTAAAATACCCCTCTTCTAATATTTTAAATTTTAAAAATGTAAAATTAAAAACTATTGAAACCCTAGCAGTGACACTGCCACCGCCAGAGCCAAACCGCCCGCCGCCGGATCCTGCCTCCGCCCTCACCGGAGACGACGCCGTCTGTCGCCGCCCTCGCCGGTGAATGTGCCGCCCGTCGCCGCCCTCGCTGGTGAATGTGCCGCCCGTTGCCGCCCTCGCCGCCTGCTGCCGCATCCTTGACGGTCCATCATTTCCACTCATCGCCGCCCCCTGATCGCCGCTGCTTCCCACACTGGCGACACCGTCCATGGCATAACACAAGAGTTTCAGGTCTGTCAAAGAGTTGGCAGATTCATGTTGAAATATTAACACAAAAATGCCATAAATTTGACAAAAAGTGAAAAAACATGAAATAAATAACCAAATATTCAAACAACTAAATTGATCGGCGTCGCCATCCACCACCACCGCCATCCTCTGAACACGACAACTCAGGCGGAATAAATTTGCCTTTATGTTGGCAGATTTAGAGTTGTGGATTAGATCTACATCTTCCATAACACAAGAGTTTGAGATCTGCCAAAAAGTTGGCAGATTCATGTTGAAATATTAACACAAAAATGCCATAAATTTGACAAAAAATGAAAAAACATGAAATAAATAACCAAATATTCAAACAACTAAATTTTTTAGTGGAATAATTTTCTTAGCACAATAGCAAATTAGAAAAACGAAGCTATTGACAAAAAAAACACTTTATACAAAAGCATTTCTGCCATAATATGATGTTAATGGACACATTTCTGCCATAAACTTGGCCAAATCCGAAACAATAATCCAAAATGTTGAAAATCTGAATTTGTTTTAAAACTCAGAAACTAGAAATCAAAAAATCAAAACAGAAGCCCGAAAATTGGAAAATTCAATTCAAAATCCAAAACAACAGAGGAAAATCGAAGAGGAAGAGGAAGAAGAAGAAAATTCAAAATCCAAAAAAACAGAGGAAAATCGAAGAGAAAGAGGAAGAGGAAGAAGAGGAAGAAGGAGAAGAGGAAGAAGGAGAAGAAGAACCTTAATGGCAGCGGCGAAATCGATGGCGTGAGAGGAAAGCGGTCGATCTTGTGCACAGGGCGAAGTCGACGGAGGCGGCGACGATGGCTTGGATGAAGCCGATGATGATGCGCAAGGAACCAAGAAAGAGAGAGAGGGATGTGCGCATGAGAGAAGGGGAAGCGGTTGGGGAGATGTGCGTAAAGGGATAGAGGGTAATAATGGAATGAAATATGCGGATGTTTTAAAATAGGAGTAAATCGATCCTATTTGGGGAAAAAACATACATGGTCTTATTTGAGAATTTCTCTTCTTTTTTAGTCCTATATAGGACAATTACTTTACTATTTTATACGGAGTATATCTTTTGTGCTAGAACTATAATTTCCTTTGTTACAACTCTCACATCATTCATAAAAAATGCATATTGTTTCAAACTCATGGATTTATTTTAATATAGTTAGAAGTATATTGCTGGTCCCGTTTGTAATGTGAACAGTCTAGAGGGGGGGGGGGGGTGAATAGACTGTTCAGGAATTTAAACTTTTCTCTAAGTCACAACGGACTTATCAGAGATGGTCGAATTCTGGTGACAGAGAAGGTCAAGTTCTGATGGCAGAACTGGACCTGGCAGCGGATTGGTTTCTGTCCGGGTAGCCTCAGAAAACACTAAGGTAAATGTCTTTCTGATAACTCTTGAGGGAGATCTGCTGAACACAGAGTCCAACCTTTCGAGTTAATCAGTCAAGATCTTAAGTGCATAAATAAAATAAGTAAAGTAAATGACACCAGAGATTTTTATAGTGGTTCAAAGAACAACTTGTTCCTCTAGTCCACTGTTCCACTAAGCTTGCAAAAACAACAGTTTACAACGCCTTAGTCCCTAGAACTTAAGAAGCTCTCCACGTCTTCTTCAAGCCTAGTTGCCACCCGGGATGCAGTCCTGCTTCCTGATGGCTGGTCTCGTTTCACTGAGTCTCTTGGAAGTATCACCACTTCTCTTACTCCAGTTAGTTTGAGACGCACCTTCTTTTTCAATAAGTGTTTGATTCAAGATCAGTTTTCTCCAACGTTGCTTCTTCACAAAGGACGTGTAGATGAAGTTTTCGAAGTGTTGAAGAACTGAGGAACTTTGCTACTTGTTAGTTGGATGTAGGATAAGAGAGTATATCTTCCAACTTGAGCTTTTCTGGTTGAGGTAAGTGAGTCTTTGATCTCAAGAAAGCTTGAAGGTATTTTGTTCTGAGTAAATAATTTGAGCAAGTTCGTGTAGCAAAAGTTATAGCAAAGTTATCCTGGTAGTTCTTCAGAGTGTATCTTATATACTGGAGCAGTCTTCCCGTTGGAGTGTAGAAGACAGCTTCATTAAATGCTTGTACTGTTGACTTGACCGGTTGGACCTTCGACTTGCTATTTTGGGGGCGCGAAGATACTCGCATGGTCAATCATCAGCTTTAAATATATCTTCATACGTACAACATTAATTGAACATTTAATGCGTGTACAGTACCATGTTCCCGTCTAAAGGTTCCTAGCCGTTAGAGGATTTCCCGTTAGTTTAACGACCGTTGGTACGTGCCTTCGAGTTCTGGTAGGTAAGAGCTTGTCTGATGAGGTTTTCTGATCAGAACTCTGATGGCAGCTTCTGATGCCAACTCTGGTATCCAACTCTGATGGCTTCTCTGGAGAGCAACTCTGGGAGCAACTCTGGTAGAAGTTTTGATAAGGAAGACCAAGAGGGTTTCTGGCATGTCGACTATTCTAGTACTTACAAAGACAAATTCTAATACAAAATTTCTATAGGGGTACTTTCAAATTCTAATCAACCTAGCATCATCAAAATCTAATTACATTTATTCCTTACATATATGAAACTTTACTGCACACTTTAAATTATAAAAAAGATTTAAAATAAAGGTTACAGTTTCATTCTTACAATATTAAACATTGATTGTACACCAATAGTTTGAAATCTTATTTTAGTTCAACTCAAGTCGAAAATCTGAAATACACTATTCGTATTACACAATTTTAACTCAAATAAGAAAAAGAAACACTCAAATATATCATTTTCTTTCTCCGTGATTATTCTTATTTCTCATCCACGCAATACCTCTTTCTTTACCAAACACACTTATTTCACATTCTTACATCACATAAATAAACCACCATCCATCTCTAGACGCGCACCGATCAACTAAACCTTTCCGATTAATATAGCCCTTCCTTCCTGTGTTTCACTAATTGACTTATATTTCGTAATGAGGTAGAGTAAAGAGTACACTATAATGCACTTGATCTCTTAAGTACATAAGTTCGAGTTTTTAATGTTAATTGAGTACACCCGTTAGATTAACATGTCAATACGACTGAGTTGGCTAACAGAATGCTAATAGGTCGACTTTTTGAAGGTCGACGCTAGCCCCCAGTCGCTCGATCGACTTCCCCTTGGTCGAAGTCAGTCCCCCGCAGGTCGACTTCTCCTTGTTCGATGCACCCCTGCTGGCCGACGCCCCCCCTCGCAGGTCGACTTCCGAAGGTCAATTTTCCTTTTTTGTCGACTTCGTGAAGGTCGGCACCATAAACTCGGTCCATTACCCCTTCTTACTCGACATTCGTTAGCCAACTCAACTGTATTAACGTGTTAATCCAACAAATGTACTCAATTAACACTAAAATCCCGAATTTGTATACTTAAAAAGATCAAATGCAATATAGTGTATTCTTTACTCCACCTCGTACAAGTTGATGTACTCAATTGACTCTTTCCTCATTTCGTAATCTTGATTTTTTTTACAAATATAACTCTTCATCAGTTCATGATCTCCCCCAAACTCCGAAATATAAATAGGTTCTAGAACTCAATTCCAACGACAGTCTTGAGAAAGGATAGATACGGGATGACGCCCCAAAAATGATTAAAAAAATATTAGGCCCAATATTCTTGTCCAACAAACAAGTCCAATATTAATTAAAGGCTTGAGGAAGCCGAGCAAACATCTCTGGATTTGGGATCCATCCACATCTATCATCCTCAAACGGTTGAACGCTCCGCCAAGTCGCCGATTCTCTTCGCGGTTTCATCCTCCGTCAGACGCCAACACGCAGCACATCAGCAGCACCGCAGCACGCCTCTTCAGTCGTCAACTACTCACATCACTCCCGTCGCTCAGTCGCCTGCTCTCCGCCACTCAACCTTCAGCGGCTCAGTCAATCGGCGCTTCCCTCAATTTTCACATCCAACCATTCGTAGTCCCGGTATTTCTTCAGTCCTCTTTTATTGATTAGCTCAATAATAACTTAGTTCATTGTTTTTTTTATAAATATTTAGTTAAATACTTAAATTAGTAATATCGTTGTATGTCGAAACCTAAGAAAACCGAGAAACTCATTTTGATTTCCCACACGCGTCACCAGAACAACAGAACCATTCAGAAAAAATATAAGATAACAAATCTTTACCTAAGATCTCAAAATGGCAGAAATTTAAGAATGTTTTTATTTTCAGAAAACTTGCCACTCTGCCGGTCAAAAATCAGCCGAAAAATCGGTTAGCCTAAAATTGGGTTTTTTGTATATTTGTTTTTTGAGAGGTTTTTATTTTGGTTAGAAAATAATTGGACTCATTATAACTTTGTTTCATTATTATTTAATTGTTGTACCTAACAACTGGATGTCGTCTTTCTGGTGATCAAAATTAAACATGAAAAGCATATTCAATGGAGCATATTTCTATATTTCGTTGATTCGTATTTTGTTAAGGAACCCAATTTATGTGGAATTTGTTTTCATAATCTAAGCTTTATGTACCCTTCAATTTATGTACCCAGTAATATGAAACTTAAGTACCAGCAGTAGGGTTGAAGGCAAATATATGGAAGTAGTCAAATTTGATCACAAAATGATACTGAAAAAAGTATAAAACTCTCCTAGTTTCTCTACTACGTATTTTGGCTTATTACAAATTTAATCCGTAATATAAGTTCTACAATTTTTATATAAGAAAACCAAGTTATTAATTTAAGATTAGTTTTTTTAATTACAATTCTTTGAAGTAATTTTTTTTAAATGTCCAATTGACCAAAGCACATTTCTAAGATTCATTAAGAAACTAACCTCAATATACTCTCAATTGGCTTAAATCTGTTTAAATTTTGAACAGAATGTATAAAAGAAAATATTAAAGACATCATTCATTATGTAAAGCTTAAATGAATGTAGAGATGATTATTCATCACTCATCAGGAACATCTTTAAAACCAACGACATATGTGAGGCTTATAGAGTTATATTGGTCATCTTTAGCTTTTAGATAATGCTTCTTATGAGGACAGTTACTTACTGGTACAGATAACACTCTACCGTAAAATGTTTGAAGCTAAAATTTTCTCTTATTAGTGATTGCTAATGAACCCTCTAGCAAACTGCAAGTAGTAATTCAAATATGTTATCAAATGACAAATGCTAAATAATCTTGATGCTTAAGAATGTTAGAAGCTAAATATTACACTTATCAGTGATTGTTATACCATCTAGCAAACTGCAAGTAGTAATTTAAAGATGTTATAAAATGTGTTATAGGAAGTATGAAATGGTCAGAAAACGTATACATGCAGAGTATGAAACGTTAAAAGTAGAATGCTAAATTTTCTTCGTTTACTTAATTTACTTTTGTTTAAAGTTAAAAGATACATACCTTCTCTTAAGTCTCACCTACAACCATTGGAAATGAGTCAACTTTGACAACCGTAGAAGTACTCTAATTTAAATTTATGGACTATCTGGGATAAATTGTATTTTCCTGAACAGAGTGTATCTAAAATGGAGTGTCCAATTCCATTCAAGTGGATGCTACAATTTATTCTGAAGAAGCTCTTGCTTGAGTGGAATTGTTTTTCTTCTTTTGTGCAGGCGTTTGAAGGCGAACATGAAACTTGATTAAAGATCCATGTGATGGTAGATGTGAGTATAGTCTTTTATATATAGGCAGCAATGAAATTCAAAAAGTCAAGGTTTATTATGTAGCCTTTAATTGAAATGCATCCACAGTATTTATTCATCGAAAGCTACATTGGAAGAGTTTCTAATTGAAGAATTCCACATTGAGAACATGTCAGGAGTCTAGAAGAATACTTCAAAATGGCCTCCAAGCCTCACTCCATATGTAATTGCATTAATTCTTGAACCTTGAGAAGACAATTAATTAGTTTAAATTGTTTACACTCTGTCTGCATGTACTTCGAGAAGCACAACCTAGGGGAGAAAAATACGATAGTATATACTCCGTATAACAAAGAATACAAAAATTAATTACTAATGCTATGGAAAAAGATGTACACATCTCGGTGAATCCAAAAGGCTAATGCAATTAAATGCTTCGAGAAGCTCAAGACACAATATTTAAATCTAGCAGTCTTTTTATTCATCCAAGACCTAGATAAATGGAAAGACATCATTGCAACCAAACATTTTCTCTTTCTTCCTTTATGTCACTCGGTATTTTATATGTAGGTGCATCCATAGTATTAAAGAGTTCTAGAACAATTGAAATACAATAATCCTTAATTAAGTGATTAATTGTTTGGCGTGAAAACTGCTGCCATGCAACGGTGCAACTTCCTTATTTTCTATGTACGTTTTTCCCCGCCCAACACCCCTTGTCCTCCCTCCTTGGGACTTTTGTGTTTTACTATATTATATAGATTATGGAATCATGACCAGGTTCCTAGATTATCATGATCATTCTGATTATGCCAAATACCTTTTTGTGTTTCTTTCTTCAGCTTCAGTAGCTTACTATCCAATACCATCACCCCTTTAGTTGGACCAATCACCAAAGGGAAGAAATCAGTAAAAGGACATTTTTCTACTGTTAACCTGCCCTATTTTTTGCAACTGTGTTTGCTATCATAAAGCATGCATGTAGGGGCTGTTTACTTTTTTTTTCATTAAATCCTGAATGGATTAAGATGTCTATGGATTAAGACATCTGTCTGGATTAAGTGACAGTGAGATAAAGAGTTGTTTACTATGTGTGCTGAATGAGAACTCTGAATTATGTTAAATGACCAAATAACCCTCGTGTATAGAATAAGTGCTGAATGTATATTATATGTTTACATTCCTTGTTCTCAAATATAACTTCATATGCCTAATAAAAGAGTCACATTACTTGATAAGAAAATGTCAAGAATTCTACGACAACATTTTAAATATAAACATTTTCCAACTACTCTATTAGCAATTTTATCCGCAAATTCGTCATGCATTGTGAGCTTTGGATACTCCATTGCATGCTATCAACTTCTCCAATATCTTCGCCTTGCTCTTGTGTTTCATTGTTGAATATAGTATCATCCTCCCATTCATCGAATATGTCATGTTGAATGTTACTTTCCAACAAATTATGAACATGTAGAAATTAGATGAATAAGAATTTCCCATCTTTCTTTTAATAAAGATATGAAAATGTAATGTATCACTCACCAATAGGAAGGGGCAGAACATTAGCTACTATTAAAAAAATTCAAACTTCACAAAATAGGAACAATGTTTGTATTTGTGAAATCTTATGCTTTCAGAAAACAAAGTTAAAATGGCTGGATGTGAAAAGAAACAATAAGCAGAAACTTTTCTAAAATAATTAATAGTATATCAATATGCCCAAAAGAACATATCACAAACTGTGAATGTATAGGGAGTGATATGTGTTTTTATTTACTCTAGGAAGAAAGGGGATTTGCTCAAAACAAAGAGATAAAGAGATAATTCCGAAGTACATAAATTTGGGTTTTTCATGTTGGGCAAATCATGAATATAAGCAATACATTTATGCAAACTTGTGATGTCTTGATCATGAGATTCACCATCAACTCTTGATCCCTGCATCATTTCAGAAATCTCCATAAATCCTATTATCTTGAAGAGGCCTGCCCATCACGGTTTTGGGTTGTTTGCTGCAGCTGGTTGAGTATTTAGATCAAACAGTTGGCGTGCAACAGAAGACTTTGTTGTTTCCATATCATTAGATGTGTTCCCTTCTTCTGCAAATCATGCGGCTATGTCATGGGGTTCATCAATGACCTCAATATCATCTTTAACAAGGATTTCCTCAGCCTCAAGCATAGATACTTCATTTCCAGTGTTTTGAGGGTTATCGGCTACCTGTAGTTCCAGCATAGATACGTCCAATATTTCTTCACTTCTTTCACGATAGGCTGCAGGTAGCTCCGAATTGAGAATTTCAAGAGCTTTGGTAATGTCCAGCAATGATTTTTGAGATGAAGCGATGAAATAGATGGAGAAGCCATGAAATACGTGATTGACGGGAATCCAGGGTTAAAAGGGAGATACTTGTTCTTAGGGATGTTTGAACGGGAAGGAGTATTAAATTTGAGCTGAACCATTAAGTCAAAAATGGTCTGAGCGAATAAGTCACTTTATAAATTAAGTCCTAAGTAAACACAATGATATAGCTGAGCGAATAAGTCCTAATCTCCATTCAGTCCATTAAGTCCTAAGTAAACGGGGCCGTATTTTTGTGTGGTAAAACATGGGAATTTCACTTTTGAGTTTGTCATTAGATGATGACACATATAGTAACTGGAGAAACATTTCATTTTATTGCATACAACAGTTGAGGTAGATTTGTGGTTACGATTTGAACATTAAAGAATAAGGAATTTGGACTGAATAAGGACTTTGTGTAATCGTGTCTTGAAGTTGAATACTAATTTATTTTCTTAATTTGCTGATTTTATGTAATTATGTCTGGCTTTGGAATTTCGCAATTAGGTATCTGGCACTTTGGTTTTTCCCCTTGCTTCTTGAAGCAGAAAACTCACGATACAGTGTGGCACTTGAGCAATATTTTTTAATTATATACTGCACAATGTATGGCTATAATTGTATTACAATTGTATATGTCCCTTTCAGTGTAGGAATAATGTAATATCTATATTGGAGGTTCTTACTTAACATAAATGTGTAGCTCCTGGAGATTTAATTCATGGGTCTGTTGACTAGGTCACATATGAGATTAGTTTCTTTAAGCTTTTTCTTTATTTCCGTTAATTTCTTCACTTAATATATACAAGATTGATCCTAAGCTTCCTGCTTCCCACTGATCAAAGTCCCTACCTATCTTACGTTCTCGTCTTTGATTGAAGTCTTGTATGCCTACTCCATTCATAGTATAGTAAAATCAAAGAGCCCTTTATATTGTCGCAGTTTATCTGTTATCGTAAAAGCTTTCCATTGTTTTTTCATCTCTACTCTTTTAGAGCTCTTTTTTTAAACATTTCTTACATTTCTTTTAGTTCTCTACTTTGATGTGTTGATGAACTTTAGATAACATTTTACTCTTACATCTTTGGTATTATAGGGAGCATCACACATAGTTGTGCTGCTAGCCTAATATTGTTATGACCGACTCAAGGTCTGAAAGGAGTCGTGAAATGAGAGATGGGGAGAAAGAGGACAAGGATGTGTTGAAAGATCGGCTGCTCACTAGAGAAAGAAGGAAGGGAGACAGAGATGATCCAGAAAAGGAAAAGACAAAAGAAAGGGTTCGAGAAAAAGATAATGACAGAGACAGGCACAAAGACAAAGAGAGAGATAGAGGAAGAGAGAAAGATCGTAGGCATCATGAAAAGGACAAAGATAAGGACAAGGAGAGGATGAAAGATAGAGAAAAAGACAAAAGCAGGGACAAAGACAAGGATAGAGATAGGGACAAGGAGAGGGTGAAGGATAGAGAAAGAGAAAAGGAGAAGGATAGAGAGAAACAGAGAGAAAGGGAAAGCGGAAGGGATTATGATAGAGTGAGAAGTAAAGATGCAAATGAAAAAGAAAAAGGAAAACATAGAGCTAGGGATCATGAAAGGCATAAGTCTAGAGACACAGATGGAAGCATTCGGAAACTACACGATGAAGATCATAATAGGAACATGGATATGGGAAAAGATGAGGTGTCAAGGTTCAATGGTAAAGATGGTGATGATGGGGACTTCTCTGAACACGATAAGGCAGCCCTAGCTGATGATGATAGTATCAGTATGTCTTTTATGAGGGGTGTACCTGTTGGATCTCAAGCTTCTGTTTCAGAACTGGAGGAGCGCATTTTGAAGTAAGTACTTAAATGTTTAAATTCCATTTTACGTTCTAAATAGGATTGACTATGCTTTGTTAGTATTTAAAAATTTAAATGATGCATGCGACCTATACAAACCTTTTTGAAAAAAAGAAGTCCTGCATATATAAAGTAGTAGAGAGCTGAACCTTAAGACTTGTTTGGTAATGAGTCTGCACTGGTTGTGTGGACCCATCTATCATTGCCTCACTGGACAAATTAAGTCAAGTTTATTCAGTTAAGTCTCATATCTGGTCCCATCCAGTAGTCCAATATGCTTAACAAGTATTTAAGGTATGATATATGGCTATACGCCAAAAGCATCATGCAACCTTGCATCTTATTTATGTATTATATCTATAAGAGGCTTTTCGTGTTGCTTTAAACCATGACCTCACAGCTACATGGCTACAATATTTTCACACTGGTCCAAGGTTCTTTATTCCATCATTTCCAATGGAGCCGAAGTCTCACTATTTTTTGGCTTGGGACATACTTCCCCCGTCTCTTTTTAGTTGCAACAATCAACATTTCACGTTTGCCAACACACAACTTTGACCGTCATTATATTTAATTCTGTATTAGACTATTAGTAAAAATAAAATAAAAATCAGATTATAAAACTTAGTAATGAGATGAATTTAACAACATTTTTTAAAAAAAATAATTCACATACATTAATAAATAAAATGTAGTCAAAGTAAAGTACATGAATAGTGTATATATTCCAATGTTGCAATTAATGAGATACGGAGGATAGTATGATGGAATAAAGGAAATGGCTCACTAAACTGTTTGCGCTTCTTTGTTATAAAGCAACGGTCAGTCTGCAATTTTCGACGCGATTTTCATCATGGGTCATCCGAAATCAGTCTCTCTGTGTTTTAGTACAGGGGTAAGGCTGTGTACATCCAACCCCCCTTACCCCACCGTTGGTGGGAGCCTTTGCGGCACTGGGGTAATGTTGTTGTTGTTGTTGGTCCAAGGTTCTTCTTCCGTTATATGGATACTACTCTGTGTAATTGTGTTTTGGCTTTGCTATAACGTTAAAGATGGTAGCTTCACATTATCCGCTTCCTCTCTTGTTTGATGGAAGTGGATATGATATATTCTGGATAGACAACAGTAGCTTTTGTTTTTACTGAATAAACTTGCAATTGCTTACTGGTTATGAGCATATTTGTTTTGAAGTATCGGTAAATAAAGTAGTTTTAATTCTCATTGATGCTTGATCTTTACCCTAGGATGAAGGAAGAGAGGTTGAAGAAAAAACCAGAAGGTGCCTCTGAGGTTTTAGGATGGGTTAATAAGAGTCGCAAGATCGAGGAAATAAAGAAGGCTGACAAGGCTAAAGCCTTGCAGCTCTCTAAGATGTTCGAAGAGCAGGTAAACGAGTTTTTGTTTTCAAATATTGTTCTTCTATTCCATATATTGATTGACAACCCCCCACTCCCACTGCTCCACACCCCCTGATATAAGAAAAACAAACAGATTCCTTTTGCCAGGATCCTAATTATTATTTGCATTACTTCAGGATAAAATTGATCAAGAAGACGATGACGTTGAAGAAACAAATCATCGGTCTGCTGGTATAGCTCTTTCTCCCTGTTTGGTGAATAGTGGCTCACTGTGTCCATGAAAGTTTTGCAGTTTAATCAAATGCATAATTTACTGTGTGTTAATTACTTGATTTCCAATTTAGGAGGATCAAGGTTTAAAAAGGCTAGTTCCGGTATCAAGGCGGTTTGTTTGAGAGAGGCAAGCCATAAGCCTCAAAATTTACCAATAAGTAAAATTTAAAATAGTTAAACTAGTAATACCAACTACAGACATGCATAATAAAAGCCCAAAGAGTCTCAAACACATGTATGATCACATAATCAAACATGATAACACAAAACAGACGCATCACATAGATGACAGTTTGAAACTCTCGAAGCTTAATCATCATGACCTCTTACCGTCATCCCTTCTATCATCACTATCATAATTTCTAAGTACTTTCTCTTAATTATCGTTTACCTCCATTACTTGTTTATTTTTCTTATTTTATCCTTGGTTACCCATCTTTTTCTTTGTGCTTAAGTATGAATAAGTTTTGACGACACGCAGAATGCTTAATAGGAGTTACATGTTAGGGTTTAAATGAAACAAGACTTGTTTGGGTTTATTTTACACACTTGTTTCATGTATGAGTCTTTTATTGAATAAAAACACTGCCCTTTTAAGCTACAAACACATTTAAAAGATAGAAAAAAAGGAAAAATGCCTCAGGAAAATGAAAAATGCCTCAAGGCGCGCCTCAGGGCGTACGCCTTGAATTTTGAGGCGTAAGCCTCTTGTCCTGCAAAAAAAAACTAAGCCTCAAAACCTTTTATGTACGCCTCACCTTGAGACATGTACGCCTCACCTTGAGACATGCCTCAAAACCCACCTCTTAAGCGCCTTTTTAAACCATGATAAGTGAAATGGTTTGATGATTTATCGGGTGCTATTGTAGTCTTTTCTTTAAGACTTCAACTGTCAATACTCAATAGTATAATCTTTTTCCCTGTTCCATGTTTTTTTAAATACAGAAGCCTATTTTGTCTCAGAGTGATGAAATGAAGTTCTTAATTTTTAATCAAGAGTGCTGTGAATGGTTTCATACTGCTTTGTACATGAAAAGTTACCCTTTTTCTTGCATTAGTCTGCTGAAATTTGAATGAGTTAGTCTGATTTTCCATTGAACACATTTTATCAGTTGAGCTGGGAGGGGCAAAGGTTCTCCATGGGCTTGACAAAGTGCTTGAAGGGGGTTCAGTTATCTTAACACTCAAAGATCAGAGCATACTTTCTGGTGATGACATAAATCAAGGTACATAGTCAAGGCCTCTTATTGATACATCCCAACCTTCTTGCTTATATCTTAGGGTCTTCATCTTTTTGGGATTTGTGAAATCAGATTCTGAGGTATAAATGTATATCTCAGAGGTTGATATGCTTGAAAATGTCGAAATTGGAGAGCAGAAGCGGAGGGATGATGCATATAAGGCTGGAAAGAAGAAAACAGGAATATATGATCAGATGTAAGTTTTAAGGTAATCACTCATAGAACAAGGTGTTCATATTGCTGATGACATTAAACATTTTGTCTCTAATTTGTGTAGTGATGAGCCTGGTTTTGAAAAGAAAATGCTTCCCCAATATGACGATCCGATGGAGGAAGAGGTTAATTTCTTTTCCAATTTATTAATGCTAATTGAGTTGCTGTATTATAATGTATTACCAGTATTGTCTTTTTTACTTGGCTTATTCTTAATTTTAGAGCGTGGCTCTTGATGAGACTGGACGTTTCAGTGGTGATGCAGCAAAGAAACTGGAAGAGGTAATCAGTTTCTTGTTCATTTTACATTGTAGATGATTGTATGTAGTTAACATGGAGTTTCATTGTTGGTTGATATAAACTCTCACTTTTTTTTAATGGCCAGCTCCGGAGAAGAATTCAGGGGGTTACCACAAAAAGCCACGCTGAAGATCTCAATTCTTCTAGCAGAGCATTGACAGATTATTATACTCACGAAGAAATGCTTCAATTTAAGAAGCCCAAGAAAAAGAAATCACTAAGAAAGAAAGAGAAGCTGGACATAAATGCCCTTGAAGCAGAGGCTATTTCTACTGGATTGGGTTCCGGGGATCTTGGTTCTCGGAATGACAAGACAAGGCAACACCTAAAGGAAGAGAATGAGAGAGCAGATGCTGAGAAGCGAGACAAGGCATACAAGATTGCATATGAAAAGGCTCAAGAAGCATCTAAAGCACTTCGACCTGAGTACAATGTTACTTCTAAGGAAGAGGAAGATGATGATATTGTGTTTGATGATGATGATGAGGAGCTTAGAAAATCATTAGAAAGGGCAAGAAAACAATTGCAAGAGAATAAGGTTGCTTCCAGTAAAATCTACTGTAGAAAATCACAAGAGGAGGTCGTTAAATCTGTACCAGAGACCATTGCTTTGCTTGCTTCCACTTTGAATGAAAACAATTCTACTGTAGATAATAATGACCATGGCTCTGCATCTGGGGACTTGCAAGAGAATAAGGTTGTCTTCACAGAAATGGAAGAGTTTGTTTGGGGCCTTCAGCTTGATGAAGGTAGTTGATTTCAATATGGTTATGTTTAGTAGCTTTTAATACGTGAGGACTTGATGTGTCGTAGTGGTTTCTCATCAGTTTTATCTTCTATTACTTAAATCCCCGGCAAGACAGTAGGCTTTCCTTGCCTTCCTATTTTCTTAGAAATTGACCCTGCTCTAAACCTATCATGCCTCTTTTTACCATCCCCAACCCTACCGTCTAGTCCATTGTGGGCCTAGTTTTTTGTTCAATAGATGTTGGGTGATCTCATCTCTTTTACAGGCCTGGAAAACCAAATCAGCATATGAGTCTTCATAACTACAGTTGTATTTATAGCCGTTTCCTTCTATTATTAATATTATTAGTTGTAGTAGTAGTAACAATAGTTACCTGTTAGTAATAGTATTAGTATTCCATTTCAGTTAATATTTGTTACAGTAAAATTCTTACTCCCCTGTCCCATAGTTTTATTCCCACTTTCATTTTTAGGAGGCTGCACAATTCTTTTCACATTTCTTTTTATGGAAAAATTTATGTGGCTGTTTTTGTTTTTTATCCTCGGCCACAACTGTAAAGTTTTACTTTGGAGCATGTCAAGTCAAAATGGAAAGAAAGTTTTGGGATAGAGGAAGTAATAAACTAGAACACTATCTACTTTTTATCAATAACATTGTGAAGTATTGTTTTAATTCATAAAAATAAGATCATATAATTGCACGCTTAATTGCATAGACTTTGACAAGGTCAAGTCTCTCTATGGTTTCTGACTTTCTGTCAAAGATGATACTTTTTCCTGTAGGCTAGGTCAAGGTCCGAAGGATGAGTGTTCTATATCCCAACACGGCTCATAACAATCTATCTTTCTTATCATGAGTGAAATTAGGTTGGAAAGTTTTAGTGTGAGAAATATTTTTGTTTCTTATTCTTCCTGCTAGATTGTGGGTTTCTAGATGAAAAATGTTTAATTAATACAATTGCATGCGAACATAAAAGATGCAGCTTTAGAGTACGCCTGGATCATGTAAAATGTTAGGAAAAAAAGAAGAAAATTGTAGAGGAAAGTAATTTTCCTATTTTTTGCATAGCGTTGGAAAATACATACAAAATTGAAATATGATTAATGTTCTATTTTCTTTTACATAATTAGGTTTCATAATCTTTATATAATAAATTAAATAAATGAAAAGGGTTTGAACAAATATTTTTTTAGAGCAACTAATTGTTGTGACCCTCTTGATTTTGTACAAAAAATTATTTCCTTCCTGATTATCTCTCTATTTTTCTTTCCCTACAGTTTTATGCAATCCAGTTGAACCCTAGTCTCTCCATGTACCATCATGTTGACTCTTGGTTTTTATTTCAGTATGCTGCATCTAATTTTACCCAGTTTTCTTCTATATTGTTGTACTGTTTGACTTGTACTCTGTTATCTAATTTAACTTTATTGTTGAAGATTCAAATAAACCGGGTGATGAGGACGTTTTCATGGAAGAAGATGTTATACCCAATTCTCCGGATAAAGCATCTATAGCTGAGGATGGTGGCTGGTCTGAGGTGAAAGAAGTCGAGGAAAAAGAAACGGACTTACAGAAAGAGGATGAGGAGAAGACAGTTCCAGATGGTACAATACATGAAGCTGCTGTCGGGAAGGGGTTATCTGGAGCTCTCAAACTCCTGAAAGATCGAGGATCACTCAAGGAAACAATCGAATGGGGTGGTCGAAACATGGACAAGAAGAAAAGTAAGCTTGTCGGTATTATTGATGAGGAGGGGCCTAAAGAAATACACATTGAAAGGACTGATGAGTATGGTCGAATTGTAAGTTCTCTTGCTCAACTAGTTCTTTCTTAATACCCATGCACAGTTCAATTAGAAGGTAGTTAATCTTCAATTCTATATATTTATTTACTCCTCTAGCTTGTCACATAATGTTCCCACTTTTCTTTTTTGGCTATATATATTCTGTTTTTCCCATTTTCCTTTAAAAGTAAGAATTGTGATTCATATTGTTTATTTCATATCTAAATGAATCTCAACATCATTTCACATTCTTAATTGTGTGGGACATAAAAATTATTAATCAGTTAAACAATTTATTTATTTTATATTCATCTGATAAATTTTTTTGTGGGTTTGTTACTAGTTGACTCCAAAAGAGGCATTTCGATTGCTGTCCCATAAATTTCATGGAAAGGGACCTGGCAAATCAAAACAAGAAAAGCGCATGCGACAATATCTAGAGGAGCTAAAGATTAAACAAATGAAAAATTCAGACACACCATCGCAGTCGGTGGAGAGAATGAGGGAAGCTCAAGAAAAGCTAAAGACACCTTATTTGGTCCTAAGTGGAAACGTTAAACCGGGGTATGTTTTCTCCTCCCACCTATAATATACTACGTAGTAGCTATACTTTGTCTCTTTGATATTTGGGACTTTAGAGGTGTGATCAAGCGATTGGGATAATTGATCGGATTGGAGCCCAAAAAAGCATGAAACTCGACTTGGCACGAATTCCGAATTCTTCAAGCTCGGGTTAATTAGGCTCAGTTTTTTTTTTATTTTTCATTTATTCTAATATACGCAAAATAATACTACGTAATAAACATTAATTTTTTAACCATCCATGTTTTAATTTATATTCAAAAAGGTATATTTTGTATATATATGATTTATACGTAGTATAATTTATATAAGTATAGTTTAAAAGCATAACTAGGCCCATTAGCTGAATACAAGAGCACTTAGACATGGTACCCAAGCTCGGTCTACAAAATAGAAATGGAATGTAAGTACTAACGACTTGATGTCAGATAGTCCGCTAGTAGTTTTGCTCAGCTCATACTCCTGTTCATGCATGAGATACAAGCTTATTCAAGCCTAAACAAGCTGGATAAATATGAATTATTAAGTTACTCTTAACTTTATCGAGATATCAGTTGTGTTTGGTTAAATGTAACATATTCACTACCAAAATATAAGTTTATTCAAATAATCAATTTCAGTGAGAATGCGTTAGCTGATGAGCTAGCAAAGCTGAACACTATCAATCTTAAGCTTTGGTTTTGTTTAAACCTGTCTTGTAAAATGATCTCAAATAATATTTTATTGAGCCTCTGCTCTGGATAGTTGAATGACTGGTGTAGTTCATTTTTTATAATTGTGTATGGTTTATAAGTTCATTAATAACATACGATTCTGTATCTCTCTTTTTACCCTAAATGAATATGGTTTTTATTTGCTTCCAGGCAAACTAGTGATCCCAGAAGTGGTTTTGCTACTGTTGAGAAGGACTTTCCTGGAAGTTTAACACCCATGCTTGGTGATAAAAAGGTAATTCTGAATTGGGCCTGTTTGTGTTATCCTCTACTAACAAGTCGTTTGTGGTTCGTGTAAAACAGTTCACCCGTGGTCATTATTCAGTTTGGGTTTATCCATGTTCATATCTGAGTTATAGTTTTTGTTGTTTAACAATACAGGTTGAACACTTCTTGGGCATAAAGAGGAAACCTGAGCTGGGCGGGGACTCTGCCTTGCAAAAGAAGCCCAGAAACTGATTGGGCCAGTATTTGCAATGTACTCTGTGAAAGGTTGGTTAGAAGCAACTGGTGCTAAACTCTACATTCTCAAGCTGAAAATCGTCCTCAATCTCGTCTCTAAGCTCAGATTTTAGATTTTGTATGTGTTGGACGTTTTTTGCTTACCTTGCTTTGAATATGTAGGTGGGTGCTTTGGTCTTTCATTTGCTATACTTTTGCATTAACAATATACACCTTTGAATTCTTTGCTGACCCATAGCCTACTTCATTTTTAAGCTTTATGTTCTCTGAGTGACTTATTTTATTAATTTTATTCTACATTTAGATGGTTTGGGAAAAGGTGAACATGAAAATTTTATAGAATCACGTTATTTAACCAAACATGGATTAATTTTTAAATCTAAAACCGATAAATTATTTGTCAAAATGAACCCCCCTCCTCTTCAGGGCCCGCTAACCAAACGAACTCTTAGTTATGGGATGTTATTGCTTACTCCTCCCCCCAAAGAGAAAAAGCCGAGTTGTATTTGTAATTCCTTGAAATAATAATCATTAAACGGTCATGCTTATAATTTAAAGCATGAGGTCAGTTTCGAGTTTGACTAGTGATGGACTAAACCGGGCCTGCCTGTCCCGGAACTGGCCCGACCCGGCCTGGGTGACTTATGGGGTACAAAAAATCTATAAATACTTCATTTTTTCTATACAATTTACTACACATCTTTTCCACGAATTCCAGATTTCCAGATATTCCTACTCTCTAATCTCTATTTTCTACTAATCTTCTCCATCTTCATCTTCTCAAATTTATTATCTACTTATTAGTTACTACCTCCGTCCCATAAAATTTTTCCCACTTTGACTTGGTACGGAGATTAAGAAAGTGGAAATGTATGGTTGTGATTGTGTATGAAAAAGGTGAAATGAATGTGAATCACACAAATTGTCCAAAAATGATGAGTGAAAAGAATTTTTTGGGAAGGCCCAAAAAAGAAAGTTGGAAGAATTTTATGGGACGGAAAGAGTATTATCTACTTATATTAATATCTAATTATTATATTATTGTTACTTATATTTATTTACTTATATTTACATATTACATATATAATTATCTCTAATTTATTTACTTATATTAACATATTACATATACTTATATATATTAAAGTATTATATATAAGTGTATTACTCATCTTATAGTAATATACTTATATTATATATACTATAAACATAATATTATACATTACTAGTTAATCTACTTATTATCTACTTTTAAATATATATTAAGTATATCCACTTATACACTTATTATCTACTTATCAAATTGCTTATACACTCTCACACTCCCATTAATTTAATTTACACACTCATACATTCTTTATTAATATAAAACTAGTTAATTGTTAATTGTTATCAAAAGTAGTTAGTTTATTGTTAGTTGTTATCGAAATTAATTCCAATTGTTATCATTTTAGTTAGTTCACTTATCAAAAGTAGTTAATTTTTAGTTGTTAGTTTATTGGAAATAGTTACATTAAAATTAGTTAATTGTTACATTTATTATTCTCCTATAAAATTAGTTAATTGTTACATTTCTTATTCTCATATAAAACTAGTTAATTGTTTCACTTATCATTTTAGTATTAGTTCATTGTTCATTGTCATTTTAGTAATAGTTCACTTAATTGTTAGTTGTTAAAACTAGTTGTTATAAATCTACTAATAGTTTATTGGAAATAGTTACATTAAAAATTGTTAGACAATAATTCAAAATTAATTGTTTAACTGTTAAACTAGTTAATTGTTACATTTATTATTCTCCTATAAAATTACTTAATTGTTACATTTATTATTCTCCTATAAAACTAGTTAATTGTTACATTTATTATTCCCAATAAAACTAGTTAATTGTTACATTTATTATTCTCCTATAAAACTAGTTAATTGTTACATTTATTATTCTTCTATAAAATTAGTCAATTGTTAATTATATTAAAGTTGTTGAAATTTTATAATAAAAGTAGTTAATCTTGATAAATTTTTATTTATTTATTAATTGATAAAACTACATTGTTACATTAAATTGTTACATTTTAAAAGAAATAGTTCGAATTTTTACATTGCATTATTATTTAATTGTAGTTAATTTTATTACATTGTAGTTGCATAGTTCGAATTTAATTGTATTTTGAATTTAATATTTGTTAGATTTGTATTTCAAATTCACTAGTTTAATTGTATTTCGAATTTAATATTTGTTATATTTTTAAGATGGAACGTGGTAGAACTTCTGTAGATATGGGTAACCTCCGCCGCAACCAAACAAAGGAGATTGCGAGGAATCATCCAAGTTCACGCAAAGGTAAGGAAATGGCCGGGTCTTCATCTCAAACCCGAGATGATTTTGATGCGGATTACAACCAAAGATATGAGTATGCGATGTCCGATGAGCAAGTAGAACAACTATTGCAACAAAATCAAGGGCGCTTTTTCCATCAACAAGACATCCCGCAAACCATTGACGAAGAAGAGCTCGGGGATGATGATGCGGAGGAGGGGGATCCGCAAACGTTCGAGGATGAGGTTCATGGCACACCGGACGATGAGGAAGAGGTAAGGGAAGTGGCTACTTCTTCCCAAGGCAATGAGGAAGCTGAATCTGTCTTTAAGGCCAATTTTACAAAAGTTAAAGACCCCGAAACCGAGATATGGTACGCCACTTGCAAGCATTGCAAAAAAAGTATAACTTGGGAATTTCTGGAGGGTACGGGAGCGCCACAAGGCATCTTAAGGCCAAGCACCCGACGGAATATGCGAAATCGGACAAAGGAAAGAGAAAGCAAACACAAATTTCAAGGTTTGCAACTGGCCAACCCTTTGGTAATTTCTCCTATGATGATCAAAGACATTTGACTGGTATGTCTCATTTAATTGTTGAAGAAAATTTGCCTTTTATTTTTTCTGAAAGTCTTGCTTTAAAAGAATATGCTCAAGGTACTTTAAATCCTCAATTTCGAAACTATAGTCGCAAAACAATTAAAAAAGAAGTTATAAGGCAATATGTTTTGGAAAAGAAAAAATTACAAACGTTTTTCGCAAACTTTGATGGACGTGTTAGTATATGTAGCGATATATGGGAGGATACTTATCATCATTTATATTATTTGGGTTTGACTGCACATTATATTGATGATGATTGGTGTATGCATAAACGTGTTCTTGCTTTTCGTGAATTTAATGATAAACACACCGGTGATAATATTTATATTCTCATTGAGCGTATTTTAATTGAGTATAATTTGAATAATAAGGTGTTTGCTATTGGTTTTGATAATGCTACTAATAATACTGCAGCTATTCCTAGATTGCGTGAATTGTGTGGTTCATCTTCTTTGATGGGTAGGTTTTTTCATCAGCGTTGTGCATGTCATATTTTAAATTTATGTGTAAAGGACGGGCTAACGGCGTTGGGAGATGCTATGGAGGTGGTGAAGGGGGGGGGGGATTAAACTTATTTGGACTACTAATCAACTTAAGATGCAATGGAGAAATTATTTGAAAGAAAGACGTGTCAAATATTGTGTTTTTCCTAAAGATTTGTCCATTCGTTAGAATAGTACTTATAACTTAATTAAGGTGCTTATTAGATTTAAAAACCATTTTCTTGCTTTTTAAAAAGAATATGCTAACTATATTATAAACCCGACCGACATCGACACTTGTGAAAAAATTGTGAATGTTTTGGTATATTTTAATAATGCAACTCAAACTTTTAGTCATGTTTATAAACCTACCGCAAACCAATTTTTTGTTGAAGCTGTTAATCTCGCTGGGGTTTTTTGTGAATTTTCTGATGCCGCTTACGTTAGTTATTTTTGTGACTTCATGAAACAAAAGTTTTTAAAATATTATGCATATATTCCGCATATATATAGTATTGCATTTATTCTTGATCCTCGTTGTAGACTTGTTGCTTTGGAGCAATGTTTAGATTACTATTATGCTTCTTTTTTTGGTCCATATCCTATGTACGACGAAAAGACCATAGATCCTAAACAACAATTCCAAGAGGTTAGTAATTTATTATATCAATTATTTAATGAGTTTCATGCACAATATGGTAACGCACCCCCTCCCCCGCCACGAACATCTTCTTCATCTAAAGGAAAATCAATTTTGAAATCTGCATTTGGCAATCTTATGAAAAAAGTAAATCAACTCCGGTTAATGAACAAAGCTCGATCAACGAGCTTTCTTTGTATCTAACATTTCCTGTTGAGTATGAAGAAGGAGATGACTTTGACGTTCTTCAGTGGTGGAAGGAAAAAGAGAGAACGTTCCCGATCTTATCAAAGATGGCTAAACAAGTGCTAGCAATGCCGGTATCAACAGTTGCTATGGAACAAGAGTTTAGTGCGGCCGGCAACGTCCTAACGGATTATAGAATGAGATTGAGCGCAAACTCTCTTGAGACGCTTGTTTGCTTCCACGATTGGTTGAAGGCCAAACGTAGAACTCAAGAAATTAGCATTGAACCCACCTGCCACTTTATGGAAGAAACAACCGAAGATGGCGGAAATTCGGATTGATTCTTATTTATTAAAAAGTGTATTTCATGTTTTAATTTTTGCTCTATTTTCAATTGTACTACATATTTCAAATAAAAATATTTTAATTTTTTAACCTCCAAGTAATCTTAATTTAATATTAAAAAACAAAATTAAATAGCCCGGGCCCGGCCCGAACCGACCCGCTACCTGGTCGGGCCGACCCGACCCGGACCGGACCCGCAATCACCCCGGGCCAGTTCCGGGCCCATGTTTCCCAAAAAAAGCCCACCCGGGCCCGGGCCGGAACCGGACCAGCCCGGGTCCATCACTATGCCTATATGGTACATCCGGGTGTACGTACACCCGACCCAACTAAGGAAGACAACCCAATAGCTGATATAGGCCAAAAAGAATTCGGTGACATTTTTCTAATTTAAGAGAAAAATCACGGCTTCCACTAAATGAGCAATAGTGTATTTTTAATGAGCACTAGACCTATTTTATTGAGTATTTAAGAGACTAACAATGATTATCACGACCCCTGCTTCATATCTTCTATTTTTTTCTTTTTCTTATTTTTTCTGTTGTAAAAACTTATTAAATTATATCTATAATACACTCCAATTAATTTCAATATGTGAGTCTAATTTAATATGATACTTTTGAAATATGTGTTGATATAACAATTAAATAATGAGCATAACATCAGTACCAAATGAGCATACATAACTTACAAAATGCACATTGATATGAAAATCGTAAGGTTTGTTAGCTGAAAATCACGACATTTTAATTGAGCATCAAACCTCCGCTATTGATATGAAAATCACGATTTCTGGTGAATGAGCATTAATGAACTTTTAATGAGCAACAAATCTATTATGTCGAGTATTAGGAGTCTAATATTCAGAATCGTGATCTCTGCTTCATAACTTCTACAAAAACTTATTACATTATATTTATAATCAACTCCTATGAATTTCATTATGTGAATCTAATGTAGAATAGTACTTTTAAAATGCATTGATATGAAATTTACAAAATGAGCACAAGATCAGTACCGGATGAGAATACGTAACTTACAAAATGTTTATTCATATGAAAATCGTAAAGTTTGTTAGTTTGACATAATGATATTTTCATTGAGCATCAAACCTCCTTTATTGAGATGAAAATCACAGTTTCTATTAAATGAGCATTAATGAACTTTTAATATGCATGAGACTTATTACGAGCATTAAAACACTTTCAATGAGCATTAGACTTATTCGGTTGAGTACTAGAAATCTAACAATGTGAATCTAATGTCATATGCAGCTTTTAAAATTTGCATGAATATGACATTTTAAAAATGAGCATAATATGAGTACAATTTGAACAAACGTAACTTACAAAATGAGTATTGATATGAAAATCATAAGTTTATAATTGAACTTCAAGAAATTTTTATCGATTATCAAACCTTCTCTATTGAGTATTGAAAAGATGCAATTTAGTATCATGGTTTGTGCTCCTATATCTATAATCAACTCTAACATGAATCTAAAAAAT